AATACTACCTACTTGGCGGATGTCTGTGAGGATTAAATAATACGGAAGGTACTTTCTCTCCTATCACAGTCCTCCTCAGTCCTTCATACCTGTCAGAGAGTGGGATCAAGGCTTCCATTTCACTCCTCCATCCATCCATCCAGAATAGGTTTCAGGGCTTGCCGTAATGAAGCGCAACACTGGAGCGTGGAGGTTTGGGGAGGCAGGACGCAGATCTGTCAGTGCGGTGTGTGCAGTGGCGGGAGCGCATGAGGCTGCGCCGCAGGGGGGACTTGCAGCCGAGCGCAGAGGCCTGCACGCGGGGAAGGAGCAGGCAGTGCCGGGAAGCCTGGCGCTGTCGGGATCAGGGAGACACTGGCCCAGGGTGGAGGTGGAGACGACTGTGAGGCCGCAGCGTGGGAAGGGCCCTTATCAGGCAGGATGCGGAGATGAGCACAGTGCTGGAGTGAATGGGCCCCGCGGTCGCGTCTTAGCTCCACCTCCTGCGTGGTGTGGGAACTTGGTTAGGCGGCTCAACAGTGGCGTAGACGTACAGCCAGCGCCCCTGTGGGAGGAACTTGGCCTTTATCCAGAGGGCCCTGGCGAGATGCCCCTGAACTATGAGCAGGGTGAGTGCTTGCTGTGGGCAGGTGCGGTTTGCTCACGGAGGTAAAACTGGAAACCGCCGGGAAGCTGCTGTAGTGACCTTCGTGCTTCGAGCTGCCCTGGGATGTGGAGGGTGCCGGTGGATGGACGTGATGGGTACGTGCTGGCGAGAAACGCAAGAGCCTGGCAGATGGCTTCAGAGGCAGGAAGCTGGGAAGCGACCTGGGCCTCCAGGGGCGGTGGTGCTTTTCACTGGAGCAGGGCAGTAGCAGGAGGAACAGACTGGCGGGGGGTGGAGGGGGGATAGGGCGATGAGTAGATGGGATGGTGAGTGTGTCACCCACGGGGTGTCCCATGAGCATGGGAGGCACTGGACCTCTGGGGCTCTGGAGGAGGTCTGAATAGGAGCTACACCTCGGAAGCTGTCATCGACTTAGGGACCACAGCCGAGACCGGGAGGGGCGGCGTGTCAGATAGATGGGTGCTGTTGCCAGTGTCACTCAGAGGGTGTGGAAGGGCTGCAGGTGAACCAGGGTGCCTTAGCGTCCTTGCTGAAGATCCGGGGAGCCACAGGTCGGGGTTCACCACACCTATCTCTGGTAAGGCCCGGGCTGCAGCACCCAAAACACCAAAACCCTCTCTTTTGAAACCATCCTGTAGCCAGGCCTCCAGGTAGCCTGCACTTGCACGGGATCTGCAGGGGAGGAGCCCGGTCAGGCAGGCATTTGATTTTTCTGGTCAGCGTTAGCTGGGGTCCAGTGTCCTGGCTCCATGAACGCCCCGTAGCTGTGGCTTACTGAGCCTGGAACAGAGTGGCAGGACCCTGGCTCAGTGGTGCAGCAGAGAGCAGAGAGCCCATTTCTTCAGTGCCTCAGTGATTCTGTGACAGATTCATTTCTGCCGAACTGCCCAGCGGAAGCTAAATGCAAGCAGGGGAGGGGCTCAGAGAGGAGGACGGAGGATCCAAAGCAGACTCTGAGCTGTCAGCACAGAGCCCAACGTGGGGCTCAAAGCCATGAACCATGAGATCCCGACCTGAGCTGAAGCCGGACGCTGAACTGACTGAGCCACCCAGGTGCCCCCAAATTCAAGTATTTTTCAGAACACTGTGTCAGCTGTATAAAAAGCGGGTGTGGGGAGAGAGTGTGGGAAGGAGACGGGTGGTTATGAAGGACAACAGGAGAGATCCTTGCGTGTTGGAACTGTTGAGTATCGTGGACGTGAACCCACACGTGATAAAATGGTGAACTGAATACAGATGCACCTCACACACAAACGAGGACAAGTAAAACTGGGGAAATCCAGGCTACATCAGTGGATGATGTCAGTGGCGGCATCCTGGTTGCGATACCGTGTTCTCACTTGCCACGTTACCCGGAGGGGGAGCTGGGCCAGGCGTACAGTGTACAGGGCACGGGGTGTCTCTCTCTCATTTCTTACGACTGTACATGAGTCTACAGTGATCTCAGTAACGTTTCAGTTAAAAGAAGAAAAGCAGCTGTGACTCACAAGCTTGGGGGCCGTGAATGGACTGAAGCCATGGAAACGAATGCAGACTGTGTGTAGCCTGAGAAAATGAGGAAGCCGAGGACAGAGCCCAGAGGCGCACCAGCATTTACGGGACTGGAGAGGAAGAGATTGAGCAGAAACAGCAAGAGGGCGAGGGGGGCGGGGGCGGCCTTAAGGAGGGGGAGGAGGTCTTTTCAAGGAGAGAAAGGCCAAGAGGGTGGGGTGCCCTGGAAAGATCAGAAAAGATCAGGGCTTTATCCATAGTGTCTGGCGGCCAGGAGGTTGTGACTTGGGGGAATTCCATGAGGAGTACAGGAGGGAAAGAGGAGGTGACCAGGGCAGAGACTGCAGACAGGTGCTTTGGGCCAGCAGTCGGAATACTGGACCTTAAGATTTTAGAGAAGGGAACAGTTACAGGCTCTGTGACAAGGTGTGGGCTGTGGCTCTGGACGGACGAGGTAGGCCATGGCTTCCCCTTTGATGTTGGAGAAGTGACGGTCCAGAAGCCACATTGAGGATCAGAATGGGTGCACACTTTCCTGTGACTTAGGAAGGTGGGAGAGGGAGGTTAGTGACGGGCTGGAGACCATGCCTGGGAGGAGGGCCCGGAAGCTGCAGGGGAAGGGATGAGTAGGGAGGGGAGAGGACTCTGACAGAGCCTGGAGAAGCCGGACCTTGGAGTCGGGGTGTGTAGTGCGGGCAGCTGGGCACAGGCCCTGTCACAGGGGTACTTTGGAGCAGTTCTTTCTCCCTTCCCCATCCAGAGTTTGTCCTGTGCTTTCTTTGAGTCCTGGTGGTTGTCCCAGGCCCTGGGGATTCTAGAGTGACCAAAACTGTCTCCACCGTCATTCTGGTGGGTGGGAGAGATGACAAATAGACATTATACTGTCAGGTGGTGGCACGGACTTTGAAGAAAAAAGCAGAACAAGGGGCTGGAGATCGGTTTTCTGGGGCAGGACAGCTATTTTCAGCAGGTGTGTTCAGAGGAGACCTTCCCAAGGAGGCGATCCTGAACACGTACCTGAAAGAAGTGGGTGAGCCACATGAGGGTCCGGGCACTTTCCAGGCCAAGGGAAGAGCAGGTGTGGGCCGCAGGTGAGTGGTCTCGTTCTGCCTGGGAGGTCAGAGCGATTGGCATGGGATAAGGGAGGCAGTGCCGAGGCAGCAGGACCCCATGTAAGTTGTGGGAGAAGTCAGGAGTTGGGTGCTGGACGCGTCACGTTGGGGATCCCGGGCTGTTCTGGTCCATCTTGTCTTCACATGAGTTTTCTTGGATGTGGGGCTTGTGGATGGTAAGATCCACTTGTGAAGCTGCACAGGTTATACACACGGGGTTACAGAAATGCTAGTGGTAGTGTTTACGTTTAGGTGCTCTCGCATGAATGCTTCGTAAAATTGTAAAGGACTGTAAGTTATTAGCAGTTAATAATCACCATTCTCTTTTCCATCTCTTTTAATTTTTAAATTCTCTCCTCATGGTGTTTCGGTTGTCTTGGATAACCTGCCTTGGTTTTCAACTTCTAAAATACAACTAGATACCCAGTCGTGTGTCTTCTGGAAGGTGCCACTTTCCTTTGGCCTCCCAGACATTTCTCTCCATCTTCCTTCTGGCCAAATAAGTATACTTTCTCTACACTGCATGTCCTGGTTTTCTCGGCTGTGCATCTCGTGCGCCCCTCAGCCTCCCTTGCTCCTCTTCTTAAAACTCGTTCTTCCTTGGGGCACCTGGGTGGCTCAGTCGGTTAAGCGTCTGACTCTTGATCTCAGCTCAGGTCTTGATCTCTTTTTTAATGTTTTTGTTTGTTTGTTTGTTCAAGTGTCCTGTTGGGGAACCTACTTAAAAAACAAAAAAAAGTTCTTTCTCCATGTTGCCCTTTTTGCCGGGCCTCATGTGACTAGTTATTGCACTTTGCTCCTCGTACACATGGTATTTGTTGAAGCTGCTCATCACCCAAGGACAGTCGTTTGTGTGTTATGGTTTTGTGTCTGTCTTCTCTTAACTCCCAACATTGTCCGTGTGATGCTGGCAGTGACCTTTGGATAAACGTTGACCATATTTTGAATAAAGGAGTGAATTAATAGGATCATATATATCTTTATTTTGTCCTTCTCCAAGAAGCTTTGGGAAACTGAAGTGAGCTGTTAACCGTGCCTGTGTGTCAGTAAAAGGCTTCTGTGAACAGGGTTTTTAGTCAGTAGAAACCTTGGGACTCTTAGCTAGATGCAGCCTTGCAAACATTTACAGATGACCCACTTGGTAGAAGCAGTGGGGTAGCTCCTGATATTGTATTAAAAGTTCCAGTCCATCTGGTTTCTGCGTTAATCTGCGTAGCTTCCGTTGCCTTTCGGTATCTGTGGAACTGAGTAGTTTTGGAAGTCAGGGACAGGCATTGCGTGAAGTCCGCAGGCTGTGAAGACAGAATGGTCTGTGAATTCGCAGGAAGAGACTACAGGGAAGTTTAAACTCTTTCATTACAGTTCTCCCCACCTTTTAATTTCCCTGCCACCACTCAGTGCCACGTGGGTCCAGCAGTCGTTCACAGTCAAAGACGAGGAGGAAAACAGCATTGCATGGGACGCCTTGCTCCAGAGGCATCGGAGCGCACCAGAAGTGGGGCTCTTAGAGAACACGGTTCACCTTCCCAGCCCAGGGAAGGGTCATACATGATGGGAGCCATCGCTAACACGTTGTGGGGACGTACGGGTTGTCGTGGAGGTGCTCCGGCCACAGTAACGCGGGTGCCGGCATGCGGGGGAGTGGCACCGCAGCCGCCTCGGGAGGAGACCGCGGCCGCCAGCGCTCTGGGCTGTCTGAGCCCTACTGCCGCAAAGCCAGCGACATCAGAACATCATCTGTCTGCTCCACCGTCGCACAGTCAAGGGTCCAGCTTCACACGTGAAAGATCTTTGCCCTTTCTTTTCAGAAACCAGTTCTGAAGCAAGCCCTTGTCGTCGTCCTGCAGTGGTGTTTCAGTCACAATTTTAGCATCCGCCTGTACGCATTAGTGGCTCTTAAGAGGATCTGGCGCATGTGTAAGACGTGGCACGTGGACGAATTTGACGCTCTGACTTCTGTTGTTGAGTCCAGTCTTAGCCAAGTGGAAAACATGCCCGGAGCAGGGTAAGCAGCCCCCCTCCCCCTCACTGTACTCCAGCAGAGCAGAGGGGACAAGGAGGTGCCTCAGTCTGTCATCGCACGCGGATATCAGCGCTCGGATGAGGCGGGGCGTGGCCAGGGCCCTGTGAGACGCCTGGTTTCACCACCCTTCTAACTGTGGTCACCTTCGTTTCGACCCTTTATTTTTTTGCTTTCTTATCCTTGATCCTTTATTTTATAAATAATGTTTTACGTACCTTCAGGTACTCCCCTTCAGTAGAGCTGAAGGTCCCCATCCTCAGCTGTCAGAGAAGTACTGGGGAGGTGACCAGTCTGGCTTTAAAGATATGCCCCCAGCCGCCCAGGTGTGCCAACTAAAAATGGAAGCTTTTTTCTCTTTTCCCTTTTTTAAGTGATTGTCTCTATTTCCCAAACAAGATCCTGCACAGATGCTCAGTATCAAACAGAGACAATGTGGCTGCTACAGGATGGGGGGGGGGGGTGCTGTATAGTGTTCCATACAGGCCGCCTCTCCCATAGCCAGCCCTGTTCAAAGTCACTGCACGGAGGCAGGCTGGAGTATCCTGTCACCTGGTGTCTGAACTTGCTTCCCCAGCTCTAAGGGAATGTTGTTGTTTTATTCTTATTATCATTGGTTATCACTATGCAAGAACGCCACAGTTTTTATAACTTCCAGAGACCCAGGCAGTATCATAAGTCAATACATAAAGAGTTTCTTTTAGAAGCTCAAAAACAGGGGCACCTGGGTGGCTCACTCGGTTAAGTGTCCGACTTCAGCTCAGGCCATGATCTCATGGTTCGTGGGTTCGAGCCCCGCTCCGGGCTCTGCTGACAGCCAGCTCAGAGCCTGGAGCCTGCTTCAGATTCTGTCTTTCTCTGTCTCTCTGACCCTCCCCTGCTCACGCTGTCTCTCAGAAATAAATAAAACATTAAAAAAAATTTTTTTTTAAATAGAAGCTCAGAAACACAAATATTTATAAACGGACAGATAAAGGTTGGAGGCAATGTATGAAGCACATGAAGTAGTGTTTGGAAAACCAGTAACATATGGGGGCGGTCTTTGCTTGACCATCAGGCTCGCACATGGTGTAAGATTGTGAGTCGTTACGAAGCTTCACGTGGGGGGCCAGGACTGAGGCAGGCCCACGGCCAAAGGGTACCTACCGATAGCCCTTCTGCCTGCTTTTACTTCCCACACATTGGTTGAAAAGACGCATTTAGGTGACTAAGTGGGTAAGGGAGGTTTTGGCGGCTCAGGAGGAAGATGCTCAATTCAGCAAAAGTAAATACTAAAATATAATTGCTGAGATACAACAGGGAAGACCAGAGGAGAGAGTTAGGTTGCGGACACAGCAGGTTAACGGGTGATGGACGAAAGTGCAAAGGAAGGGGCTAACCACCTCCGATACGTTGTACACGGTTCATTGTATAGAAATTGTGGTCCCAGCAAAGACTGGTCGGTCATCGATATTAGTAGCCGACCACGGCCGTGCCTCGAGCTCCTACCTTTCCAGGGACGTCGTGGCAGCTGGAATCCCTCCCCTTTCTCAGGCAGTCCTGCAGGGCTCCTCTCCCCTCGGTGGGGTGGGTGGGTGGGGGCACACCGCCTGCCCCTCAGGGAAGGGAGTTTGAGGGAAATGAATACAGTTGATGTGTAGCCAGGCGTTTGTCAGTGTACCGGTTTCTCTGTGCTGAAGTCCTGGCTTATCGTTTGCCATTGGGATGTTTGGGCTGGTGGTTGAGCTCCAAAATTCCTGGGTAACTGTGGTTTGATTTCTAAAAACAGTTGGTTCAGCTCTTTTTTTTATTAAGGAATAAAACCCATTTTTACAGAATAATTTAATTCTTTTTAAAATCCAAGCACCAAGTAGGAGATTTAAGCAATAAAAGTAAGGAGTCCCGGGCATCGGACCATCCCTGCTCTTCCGATTCATGGCAGAATCGGTTTCGTGGCCGGTGATGGCCGAGTTGTGGGGCGTCAGTGGCAGGCCAGGTGGACACGGTTCTCGTCTCTGTGTGGTCCCGGTCCGGAGGACGGGAAATCAAGTAGACAGTCATACAGATAATAAATTGAATCATGGTGGGTACTCCAGTGGAAAAGCAAGGATTGCGACGAGAGAATGCGGCCTCTCCAGGCTGGGTGGGAAGGGAGGCCTTTCTAAGCCGCCGTCTGATGGGATAGGTAGGCACTGGGCAGATGGGAGTGGTGGACAGTGGCGTCTGGGCGGTCCCGAGGCTGGCGTGCCGCTGTGCGCAGTGTGCCCCGGGGCAGGGCACGCAGGAGGTGAGGAGCAGAGGCCGGCCCTCAGGGCTTCAGTTGAGTGAATTGTTTAAACTCGGGAATGACATCGCTGGGTTTGCTTTTGCCTTTAATTTTAAGTGTGAAGAACAGATCAGACGCCCGCAGGAGAGAATGCAAGGAGGGGCACCTGGGTGGCTCGGCCAGTTAGGTGTCTGACTCATGATTCAGGCTCAGCTCAAGGTCCCAGGGTGGTGGGATTAGCCCCGTGTCCGGCTCAGCGTTGACAGGGCAGAGCCTGCTTGGGATACTCTCTCTGCCCCTCCCCCACTCATGTTTTCTCTATCTCCTAAAATAAATAAGCTTAAAAAAAAAATGGGAGGAAGTCATGTGTTAGTTACTGGGGGTAGAGTAATGGGCAGATTTGAGGTAAGTTAAATGAGAGCCTAAAAGCACCCACTGGATTTAGTGGGAGCCATTTCAGTAGCCTCAGTAGTGGGGTGGAAACCAAATTAAAGTGGGCTAGGAGTGGGTGGGACAATACAGTATGTTGAATCCAGTGATGGGCTCCTTGCTGCCTAAGTTAGCTTAGTTTCTTCACTTGTATGTCTTTAATTACCAAAAAAAAAAAAAAAAAAAAAGGTAAAAACACAGCCTCATTGTGGGGATAATTCTCTCCCAAAACTCTTCTGTGAACTGCACCGGCAGAATATCTGTGGAGTATGTGCTGTCAAGGGAGGGCTTGTATTTTATCTTTGGTAACATTTGTTGTTTTTATTTTTAAAATGTTTTTTAACGTGTATTTTTGAGAGAGCATGAGAAGGGGAGGGGCGGAGGGAGAGGGAGACATAGAATCGGAAGTAGGCTCCAGGCTCTGAGCTGTCAGCACGGAGCCCGACGCGGGGCTGGAACCCACAAACTGTGAGATCGTGACCTGAGCTGAAGTCAGATGCTTTACCAACTGAGCCCCCGGGCGTCCCATAGTAGTTGATAAGGACTTGTGGTTAGGAAGTTGAACAGTGCAGAAAGGTGTCACATAAAGGCAAGCCCATCTCCTTACCCTGTCCTTGACCCCTTGCCCCCAAAGGTGTCCCCTTATGCTTGGGTGTCCCCTCATGCTTGGGTGTCCCCTCATGCAGTGCACCTCAGGCTAGCTCTCCAGCCCCACCTGATGGTGCTGCAATACTTTTTTTTTTTTCCTTTTTTTAAGATTAGACCCTTTGAACAGGCTGGAGGCTCCAGAAGGGGACAGTTCAGGGACTGTGGTCGGGGGCATGTGCCAGGTGTTGTCCCCTGGAGAGAGACTCCTGGGGCGAGGGCCGCCAGGCCAGTGCGCAGCGAGCTTGCTGGGACATGCCTCAGAATGGCTACTTTGGTTTTGGGCTGTTGATCATGAATTTGCACTTAAACCACCACCAGCTGTGTAAGAAGTTCTGTCCCCACCCCCTCTGCCTCTGAAAACTTGGCAGATGTGTTAAGACTGTAAAACCTGCCCCTGTGCCGTCTGTCTGGTTAGGAGCACCGGGAGTTTGGTACGCACTGTGAATCTTCGGGGTGGAAAAAGCACTGCCAGGCGGAAGCTTGAGGACTGTCCTCTAAGGACAGATTTTGTACACGGTTCCCTTTTATTATTTAATGTTTTATTTCTGAGACAGTGTGAGCAGGGGAGAGTCAGAGAGAGAGGGAGACACAGAATCTGAAACAGGCTCTAGGCTCTGAGCTGCCAGCACAGAGCCCGACGCGGGGCTCGAACCCACAAACCGTGAAATCATGACCTGAGCCCACATCGGACACTTAACCGACTGAGCCACCCAGGTGCCCCATACGGTTCCCTTTCAGAATCCTTTTCCCTCCTGTGTTAAGTCCTGCATGTCACAGGCTGCTCTTGTGAGGTCCCCCGTCACTGCTCACTGACGGCCGTCCGTTTCCACGTCCCGTTGGCGTTGACGGAACGCAGGCCTCTGCACCATCCATGGGAACCATCCCTGTACTTTGAGGCATGGGGACCTGGGTTCACATCCTGTTGAGTCATTGTTGTAGGATTATGAAATCGTGATTTCTTGGACTTGCATTTCAGAATGTCAAGTTCAGTGTCAGTCTGTGTTGATCTGGGAGGTAGGGGTGCATAAATCTCAGGATAAGATTCCCATGATTTTCCATCATTCTGACCTTCGCACTCCGTGTCTGATTGTCTGGTCCCTTGTCTGGTCCTCACACCGTATCTTTAATCCTCAGGAATGCCAAGAAGAACTGGCAACGTATCCAAGAGCATTTCTTTTTTGAAACGTTTCACCCAATTAAGGATTATTGTCTGGAGGTGAGTGGAGAGTGTCGTTTATAAATTCCCTGCCATGTCTTTCCTTTCTTTGTGCCATGGCTCTTGGAGGGCTATTAGGAGGGTGAATTTTACCCCCATGTCATCACCCTTGTGGTGTAAAGGTTTAAGTTTAATTTCATCACTTCGTGCAGATGACTTGCTTGCATTTTTCACTGGTAAGCAGTGGAAATTGGCAAGTCATTGTCACTTTCTGGTTCTCAGGCTTGTAAACACTGCAAGGGGGAATATTTAAACAGATCTGTTCTGATGTTAAAAGGAAACGGGTGAGAACGTTTATGCAGGTGAGATTTTGTTGTGATAAAGCCCATTGTTAAAGAGCAGAAAGATCTGTCCCTTTGTAACTGGCGTTTTTTTTCCGAAGCTGGGTGAGTAGAATTGTATGGCACATACACGCCCCACGTTCATTGTATCCGAATATGTCCCCACTGTCCCCACGTTCATTGTATCCGAATATGTCCGTATACTATGAGGAGCCATTAAACGTGTTTATTACAATTAGCATGTGAATGAACTTCACACACAAATTATTAAAATTTATGTAAATCGTGTCACTTTCTCCTTTTTTCATCTGTAACTATTTTCATGTTCTGCCTTTGAATGTAAAACAGGTGACCTAGGACTTGTCCACAGTGACTTGAGCTGCTGTGCATGTGCAACTGGAGGGACTGCTTACTAATCAGCTGGCCTTTAACAGAAAATTGATCTTTATATTGTGAGATATTCACTCCAGAATAATAACGTTCACTCCTGTTGCTTCGTTGCAGAAATGTAGGATTTTTCAAGGATTGTAACTAACATGCTCTGTTCTGTGTTCTTTAGAGCCCAGAATGCTTGGTTTGACATCTTTCTGAAGGACTCTTACTAGCTCTCTAGTGTTAAGTCAGCACTCTCTATTCACTTCTGCAGCAGGAGTAAGTCCCTCTTCCCTCTTCCTCCCACCCTGCCCCCCACGCCTCACTGCCCCTGTTCTGTGTATTCTTTTCTCCGCTAACAATACGAGCCGTACTTGTACGTGTAAATAACACAGGGCTCACACATTCTGCCTCTTTCTGCCTCAGGACTGTACTTGACTCCTACCTCCTGAACACTGTGGTCCTTACGTGGGTTTAACTTTGCACAGATAGGGCCAGCGTGAAGGCTTGCGCATTGTTACACGTTTACTATTTCGTTTCTACATTGCCTGTTACCTGTGCTTCTGTTTCGTATGTGCCTCTTCATCTGTGATGATACTCTGGCTCTGTTTCTGCTCTTAGGGAAAGAAAGGAAAGAGGGATAGCTTATGTAATGACTAAGTAATTACTATGCTCAGCGGTGTCACACCGGGCAGTTTACGACACCTCGATGTTCTATTTGAACCTGATTTTATCCTCATTTTACAAATGAGGAAGTTGAAACCAAGAAAACCTAAGCGGCTGCCTGACATCACAGCTAATAGTCCAACCAAAGTTTGGATTCCAAATTTGTCTCATAACGAGAATAAGATCTGGCCTCAAAAGAGCTTGAATTTGACCACTGTTGGAGGTGCTTGGTTATCAGTAAATAGCACTTATCTAAATGTTGCCCACATGAATATTGATCGACCCTAAAACACTTTTTGCATTTATCAAGCACCCAGTGGTTTATTACAGTTAGAAATACCAGAGTGGAAGGGCAGGAACTCCCCTGCTTCCTTAGAGCAGATGAGAAGTATGTCTAGATAGATGGTACAAGATAAAATGTACATAAAAGTACATAATATGCTCATTGGGATAGTTTGGGAAAATACATCAGTAAGAGTAAAAATGTATTTTAGACATGTTACCATGTTTTTGTTATTTTTAAGGGAAGAAAATTTGAGATTCTAACCGTTCTCTTTCCAGACCATATTTTACATCCTCCCACGCCTCTCAGGCCTTGTTGAAGACGAATGGATTCCCATTGGTAAATTTACCAGATTCAAGGACATTCCTCTAGATGCAGGATTTCAGTGGTATCTTTCCCCAACTCAACTTTGTGAACTGAAACCAGGTGACTGGGCTCAGCAGGACATAGGTAAAGAACGATTTTCATTTTCCCTCCCTTGTTGACTTGGTTCGGTCTCCTCATTTCAGTTACTGAGAACAGATCGTTGACAAGACCACTTTTCACTGAAGTGGTGAACTCTGCACCTCGGCTTAGAGAAAAGACCGGGGGAAAACGTGCTATAACCCACTAGTCATTTTCACCAATGAGCTTGCTGTGAAAAGCCAAGAGAGTCTGATCTGTGTAATTACATCAAGCTAGTAGCTTTTCTTTTTTTTGAAATATTATTATTATTCACTGCTCTTCCATCCTGTATTTCTGTAAAAATATAGATTTTAAAAAGAGCTAAATTATGAAATCTTGTTTCTTGGCCCACGTAGGAATAATGCCGAGCTCCTGATTCTAGCCCCCTGTGGGGACAGGTTGGACCTTGCTCATCTGTGCCACCTTCTTTCTCCTGTTTCTTCAACCTTCTGTTACACTTACGGCTTCCCTGGGGTTTCCTTTCCATTTCCTTCATTGCTCACCCCCTCGTCCCTCCGTCCAAGGACCCGGTGCCTCACCTGCCCTGACACCGCAGCCCACAGTCCCCACTCTTGTCACCACAGCCGCCAACCTTGGCCCTCGCTCGGGCCCTCCCTGATCCACAACCACAGAGGATTCTTTCAGAAAATCAGAAATAGCCTTTTTCTCCTCCGTCACCAAGCCCAAGTGGACGTTCCCCTCTAACCATGCCTGCCCTTTATGGGGCATTTATTTGCTGGCTTCTTGCCATCCTGATTTTCCTCCTCCGTCTGACTTCCCTTCAGGAGCTCCCCTTTGTCCCTTATATCTGTACTTCTCTAAAATGCTAACGTTTCCACGAATCCCTTGGACAGCTTGTTACAGTACAGATACTTGGGGGCCACCCTTAGCTGAGTCCCTATGTCTGGAGAATTGTTTATCAAACACTCTAGATGATTCACAAGGACATTTTTAGACCTGTCACCTTACATTTATTCATTCCTTTGACAGAGATTGAGCGATTGCCCCCTGTGTGCTAGACACTGACCAAGTCCCTGCCCTCGAGGAGCTTACGTCCCCCCAAAAACCGTATCGTGAAAGCAAACCAGAGTAGAGACAGTGACAGAGGCCCAAGACACCTTTCTCAGGACTTGACACTGAGCAGAGACCCATGTGAGGTGAGAGCAGGTCAAGCAGAGATCTGGAGGAAGGGCTTTCCCAAGGCAGAGCAGACAAATCAGGTGTCGTCTGGGTGGGAAAAGGCTGAGGAGGTCTGTGTTTGGTGTGTGGGAAGGAGGAAGGTATGACCCTGGGGTTTCTATGCCACGACTTCAGTGCTCGTATGCCCTGGCTGTCTTCACGGGCCTGGCCTCCGTGTAGTGCCTGCTCTCCCTGGACATCTTTATCCAGTTCCACAATGCAAAACCGCCATCACTTACTGTGACTTCCACCCTCCGTCTGCCTGGCCCCCTTCCCAACCTGCTGGGCACCTGCACCCAGACACACCATACACTCTAAACTCCACACACAAACTGGATTTCCCTCTGCCCGAACTTGCCTCCTCTATCACCCTTCTATGACTGGTGCCCCTGGGTCGTCATAGAAGTCCTTCTTTTCCCTCGTGCCGCATGGATCGTGCCGCTGAATCGTGGTAATTCTGCCTCCCAGATCTGGCCACTTCTGTCTCACCTTGACTGAGAAGGTCTCTGTCCCTGTTTTTGCTTGGCCTGGTGCAAAGACTCCGCCTCACCCTCCAGCTGGCTTTTACGAGGGGTTTTTCTTACAACACAAAACCAGTACTGTTCTCCCCCTTCCTAAAACCCTTTAATGGCTCCTCCCTGTACAGCAAATTCTTTATCATCATCTACGTGCTTTTCATGCTTCTTCCATGGTCTGAGCCACCCTGTTCCATCCTGGCAGGCCCTGAGCTTACACCGGAGTTCTGCCACTGAGCGTCATCTTCGTCCCACATCCTGTGCCCAGGAGCATGCCGTCCCCACCATCTGCGCTGCCCTTCCCCCTCTCTGTAAATTCTTACTTCCCTTGAGCCTTCCTGGTTCTCTGCCCCGCCCCCCCCCCACGCCGCCCCCCAGACACTACCTACCCTCACTGTAGTACTAAGTTCTAGGATTTGCTCGTCTCTTCCATCCCTGTGAGCCAAGCACTCCTTGATGGTTCAGTGAGCACTTTGCAGTGGAGCAGAGGAAGAGCCTGGAAGTCTCAGTCCTCCGTTACAGCTCACAACACTGCATTAGAGAGGTTAATAACATTCTACATACTTGGGGCATTGCTTCAGAGAATATCCTTCATTTTAGAAGAGTTCCCCTAAGTGCTTGTCCAGTAATTTAAGATAAAGACTGTATATTTGTTTTCAGGAACACACAATTTCTATGGAGAATTCCATACTAATACCCTGTTGTTTGTAAGATACACCATTATTTTATGGACATCCAAGAAAAAATGCAAAAATCTTACCAAACTGTGATACCTTATGGATACTGAGATGTTTCCCAATTCCAGATATGCTAAAACGTAAACAAGTGCATCTTAAATTTTCATGAAATGTAGTTGAATTAGAACATTTAAAATTACTTCTGAAAATGGCAGTTGTGTCTCAATCCAAGTCAAGTTCTTTAGTTAATGAATCTTATCCTAAACTATCATTTTAAACTCTTTTTAAAAAAGTGTATATGAATATTTTTATATACAGGATTATTTTCTTTTTCCCTCCCAGGCTCTAACTCAGGCGAAGCCGATGACCAGTCAGAGTGGACTGATGTTCAGAAGAAGATCATCCCGTGGAAAACCAATGTTCCAGACTTAGATCTGGAGCTGGTGTTTCAGGATCGTATTGCCAAACTCGGAAAGTCGATTAGCAGACTGATTGTAGTGGCCTCGCTCATTGATAAACCAACTAATTTAGGAGGTAAAACTAGTTCTCCAGGGGGTTTGCTTAAAATCTTTGGCTCCTGAAAACCTGTAATCAATCCCGTGCTGTTTCGCATGTCTTCTCCTCCTTTCACCCTCCTTGGGAGCCCGGCACCGTGCAGACCAGTGACCGGGCCTGTTCTGTGCAGGGCTGTGCCGCACCTGCGAGGTGTTCGGGGCCTCCGCGCTCGTGGTCGGCGGCCTGCAGTGCACCCGAGACAAGCAGTTTCAGTGCCTGAGTGTTTCGGCAGAACAGTGGCTTCCGTTAGTGGAGGTGAGTGCAAAATAGTTTATTAATAACCGTTTCTTTGCTAAAACTTTCATAGTCCTCTGTCTTCAGGTGTCCTTGCTTTTCCAGTACTTTAGAGTTGTCCAGCCTTCAACAACTTAAAACAGAGCCCCCTCTGTTCTCCTATTCCACATTATCTCTCACATTGTAGTAATTTTAGAAATCCTCAATGTAGAATTCTTTTCAGTAACGTGTCCTGTTGCAACTCACTCTTTGGAATACTTTTCATAAATATATATATAATGCTGGGGAGAAGTCTATATAGCGTATAATTCCTTTTTTATAGTATATAATTCCTTTTCCTTGTAAAAAGCCTTAATTTCATGAAAGGTTTTTTGAAACTCATGCAAGACTATAAGTGAATAATTTATTACCCTGCTGTTTTAAAACTCATTTTAAGGTAAAACTGCCTCAGCTGATCGATTTTCTGCAACAGAAGAAAGCGGAAGGTTACACTGTTATCGGCGTGGAACAGACCGCCCGAAGTGTAGACCTGACTCAGTACAGCTTTCCTGAGCGGTCTCTGCTCTTGCTGGGGTAAGAAGATGCATTTCCGTCTCAGTCCGGAAAATGCTTCAGAAATTTTATAATTCACCAAGACTCTTGATGTGACACCCGCATCGGGACTTTTCACGTGTCACGCTCCTGGAAAGACCCCTACTTTTTGTTTTCTTTCACCCGTTTGGGACAGTCAGGTGAACAGATATCAACCCTTAAATCTTTGTATTAACGTATTTCCCAGGGTCACGGACTTCATTTTGTTAACGTGGCTTTTCAGTGACATTCAGGGCGGCTGAGAAATGTGTGTCTTACAGTGTCTTGAACACAAACCTTTCTTCTGTTTTTCTTCATCAGAAACGAGCGTGAAGGGATTCCAGCAAACCTGATCCCACAGCTGGATGTCTGTGTGGAAATCCCTCAGCAAGGTATCATCCGCTCGCTCAACGTCCACGTGAGTGGGGCACTGCTCATCTGGGAGTACACCAGACAGCAGCTGCTGAAGCAAAGGGACACCGGGTCGTGAAGTTTGTGCCCTACAGGGATGCGTCATCGGTGCTCTTGAAACATTTTTTAAAAACTGTGTGCTTGTGTAATAGATTCTGAAATTTACCAGGATGATTTGTATTCCTTTTCTTGCAAGTTAATGCCAAAACTTCTTCATGTGCCTTAAACACATTACCATATATTGTCCCCGTTAATAAATATTTTTAGCTAAATTGCATTGTGTCTTTAATATCTTAAGTGATTGTGGAAATAAAATGTCTTTTAAGATCATTTCCTTCCTAGGGAACAGCACTGTCAGGAATATGGACTGTGATGGGACTAAGGCAGAATGACAGCAGCCCTTATCTGTGACCACCACGCCCGAACGTCCTGTCCTCCTGAAGCACCTGGGGTGGAGGCCAAGGTCCTGCAGCGGGAGGAGTCCTTAGCCTCTGTTTGCTGCTTTATGTCTCCTTATTCCCAGGGAGGGAACCTGCTCCCCTATCGATTCATAATGCTCAGATAATAGGTTTTAATTTACTTTTAAAGCCATGAATTAGGCCATTGTCATTCATAGGAAGTTCTGGAAAAATGTTCATATACTACCTTTGGTCAGAGTTCAGATAATGAAATTATATTCTGGGGATACCTGGGTGGCTCCGTGGGAGCATCCAACTCTTGATTTCGGCTCAGGTCAGGATCTCGTGGTTCCTGACTGAGCCCCACGTCCGGCTCTGCGCTGACTGTGCAGAGCCTGCTTGGGATTCTCTCTCCCAGCACCTCTCCACCCAAAAACAGCGAATGTTTCTTGCACATCATCACCAAGAGTGAGAATGGAGCCCAGGAAGTCTAATTTTCTTTCTGTTCTTCTGAGGGGGGGTTTGTTTCCTATTGAGATTACCTCAGTATTTAACGGTAACCATTTATCACCATTCAGCAACGAACTTCAATCATGTCTGGGTCCTTTTTAAGATTTCAATTTCAGAATCTGTTACCAGTATATGTGTTTTTTTTCTTCTGAAGCTTTAAAATTTTTGTTTTGTAGAGGAATTGCAAAGATGTACACAGTTCCTATATGCCCTTTGCCCAGATGCCTCTAGTAGGTTCTTCAACCGTGAACATTTATCAAAACTAGGAAATTTGGTAATGGTGCCGTTCACTAACTGCAGACTACAGATCTGACCTGTGTTCACATTTCTTATGTGCCTTTTCTGTTCCGGGAGCCAGTCCAGGACGCTATATCGCTTTAGGTTTTCGGGTCTCCTTCATCTCTTGCGACCTTGTCTTTCCTGATCTTGACACTTCTGAGTACTGGTCAGGTATTTTGTAAATGTCTCCTAGTTTGGGTTTGTCTGGTGTTTTCTCATGGTCAGCCTGAGGTGTCTGGGGCTTTAGGAAGGACCCTGCAGCGAGGACGTACCCTTGTCATCTCCTCACAGCACGGCCGTCTCACCCCGGTCATTTGTCGAAGGCAGCGTGTGCCATGTTCTCAGTGAAGTTGCTGTCTTTCACTTTCCACGGTCTGTCAGCAGCTCGCTCACGAAGCCCAGCCTACACTCAAGGGCAGGAAATAAGCTTCAGCCTCGGGGAGGGAGGAGTCCAGGGGGCACCCGTTGAAACAACCACAGTAATTAACACTGTGGGAGATACTCGGAGGCTGTACGGACACAGGTCTCCTGAGCATGTTGCCCATGGATTTCAGGACTTGTCAGTGGGTACTGCCTGCAGTGTTTGCAATGGTGGGATTCTAGGCTTCCCTCATTTCTTCTACATTCGTGACCTGGGATTCTGCTGTGAGGAAGACCAGTCCCTTATTCAGTCCAGTCTTATTCAGACCAGTCCCTTATTTGGCTTTTGTCCTTTTGAACTGTTCCCATTCTTCCAGAGTTACATGGGTCAACCCCCCTCTCGGCCCCACTTCCAGTGAGTATGTGGCATATATTTCTAATCCGAGTAGACTCATTTATCATAATCTACATTCTAGACTGGAATCCCTCCAAAATCCTGGCTGATTTTACTTTAATGTGCACACAGCCACTTATTAATGTGCACAGTTATGAACCACCCCACCCCCACAAGGCCAGAGAAGACCGTCCTAACACCTAAAAATTCCCATTCATCGTTGACCCTTTTCCCCATTCCCAACCACTCATCTGTTTTCTATGCTAAGTTTGCCTTTTCAAGAATCCTGCAAATGGAAGCATATAACACGTAACCTTTTGGGTCTGGCTTTTTGCACATAGAAAAATGCACGGGAGACTCATCTCTGTTACTATGAGACTCAGAAGTTCACTCCTTCTGAGTAGTAGTCATCCACTGTGTAGACAGACCTGCTTTCCTCTGTTGTAGGACCTTGAGTTGTTTCCAGTTTGGGGCAATTGTCAGTGAAGCTGCTGTAAACGTAGCTTTTGTTTTCAGTTCTTTGGGAGAACTCCCTAGTAGTGTGATAGCCGGGTCATCAGGTAAGCGGACGCTTAACTTCATAAAAAATCCCAAACTCTTCCAAAGGGGTTTTATACTGTTTTGCGTTCCCTCGGTGGTGACATCAGCACTTGGTACTGTCAGCATTTTAATCTTAAAGCTCTTCTAATAACTTGCATTACTCTACTAACACGGAGCATCTTTTCATGTTACTATTCAATGCTATGAGTAGATGAGACAATATTCACATAATTTGCCCATTTTTTTAAGCCTGGGTGATTTATTTTTGTATAGAGTTGGAAGAATTTTTATTCTGCATACAAATTCTTTGTGATAGGTGATACACAGATATCTTTTCCCAGTCTGCAATTTTTGCAATTTTATCTTTTCATTTTCTTAATAAGCATCTTTCACACAGCATTTTTAGTTTTTATAAAGTTGAGCATTTATAAAACTTTTTTGGTCCTCTCTAGATTGTGCTTTTGATGTTACTACATAAAAATCAGTATTTTCAAATCTAAAATGCATACCTCCTCTGTATTTTCTTCTAGAAATCCTATAGTTTTGCATCTTATATTTGGGTCTATGATCCATTTCGAGTTTGTTTTTAATAAGGTGTGTGGTGGGTCAGGGTTCACTTTGTTGTTGTGGAAGTACTTTCTCCAGAACCACTTGTTGGACAGATTATTCTTTCTCCACTGAATTGCCTTTGCACGGGTAGATTTTTGGACTCTTTTCTGTTCCACTGACCTCGATGTGAGTCCTTTGCCAGTACTGTACCTAATCACATAATAGGAATCCAACTTTTTGCTCTTTTCAATCCTTTGCCTTTCCATGCAGATTTTAGAATCCGCTTTTGTCAATAACTACATAAAAACATCTTGTTGGGATTTTGATTAGGGTTGTGTTGAACAAATCGGGAGAATTTAAGAGTACTGAGAATTTTAAGAACATTTGAAGTTTTTTTTTAATGTTTGTTTCTAATTTATTTCTAGGAGAGAGAGAGAGAGACAGTGTGAGCAGGGGAGGGTCAGAGAGAGAGGGAGTCACAGACTGAAACAGGCTCCAGGCTCTGAGCTGGCAGTCAGCACACAGTCTGACGCGGGGCTCGAACCCACGAACTGCGAGTTCATGACCTAAGCGAAAGTCGGATGCTTAACCGACTAAGCCACCCAGGCGCCCCAAGAACATTTGAGTTTTCTAATCGTTGACTACAGTATATCTAGTTAGATCTTCTCTAACTTCAAATATTTTGTGCTTTGTATTTCTCAGATACAGGTCTTCTACATAGATTTATATCAAGTACTCCTTTCAGGGTTTTTTTTAGTGCTACTGTAAATGTTTTTTTTTTTTTTTTTTTTTTAAATTCCAGTGATTCATAGCTGGTATGTAGAAATAGGATTTTCTTTTATATACTGACCTTGTTTCTTGCCATCTAAGATTTGCTTGGTTCTAGCAGCTTTTTTGTCAGTTCTCTGCCACAAACTGAAGTTTGTGTTGAGGAAGACTTTTGGCACCATATGTCCAGTGCACCGGTTCACTTTGTGTCTGTCATGGTTTGGTAATTCTTGTAGGATCTCACACTTTTTCATCATAATATTTCTTACGGTGATCTGCGATCAGTGAGCTGCTTCGACATCACCATTGACATTGCCTTGGGGCGTGGTGAACTTAACTGACAAATGTGTTCTGTTTATAGAACCGGTTTCATTTCTTCCTTCCCAATTTGTACACTTTTTATTTCTTTTTTGTTCTTGAAGGGGCTAGGAATCCAGCACAATCCTTGAACAGACCTCAGAAGGGATAGCCTTACCCTATTACTGATCTTGGGAAGAAGCATGTATTGTTTTCCTACACTAAGTATGATATTAGCTGTAGGGTTTTTCATAGGTGGTCTTTATTACTTTACCTGTATATTTTAAGTTCAACTTTTTTCTTCCAGTCTTCATTTTTCTGTGCCTATATGAAAATGCTAATTCCCAGGACACACGACAGCCTACTTTCTTCAGGATCTTAACTATAGAGAAACTATAGCTTGTTTTGTTGCACTCTTCAAGTACTGCATTTTTTAGAAATTAAAGGTTTGTGGCAACTCTGTTGAGCAAGTCTACTGACACCATTGGTCTCTGTGTCACATTTTAGTAATTCTCATAGTATTTCAAACATTTCCATTATTTGTCGTGGGGATCTGTGATCTTTGATGTTACTATTGTAATTGTTTTGGGGCACCATGAGCTGTGTGTATTCTAACTGTTCCACTGACTGGCTATTCCTGGTCTCTCGCCCTATTCACTTAAGAAAAAACAACATTGAGGGGCGCCTGGGTGGCTTAGTCGGTTAAGCGTCCGACTTTCGCTTGGGTCATGATCTCGCGGTTCGTGGGTTAGGGCCCCACGTCGGGCTCTGTGCTGACTGCCAGCTCGGAGCCTGGAGCCTGTTTCAGTCTGTGACTCCCTCTCTCTCTGGCCCTCCCCTGCTCACGCTGTGTCTCTCTCTCTCCTAGAAATAAATAAAATATTAAAAAAAAAAAAAAAAATTAGGAAAAAAAAAAAAGAAAAAACAACATTGAAATCAGGCCAATTAATAACCCTACAGCTCACTTTAAATCAGAAAGGTCGGGCCTGGTGAGGAAGACAGGCCAAAAGGTAGGTGTCCTTTGCCAGACAGCCAAGTTGTGAATGCAAAGAAGAACTCTTGAAGGAAGCTGAAAGTGCTTCTCCAGTAAACACGTAGAGAATAAGAAAGTGAAACAGCCTTAGTGCTGATACGGAGAAAATCTGAGTGGTCTGCACAGAAGATCAAACAAGCCACAACATTCCCTAAAACTGAAGCCTAATTCACAGCATGGTCCTAATTCTTCAATATTATGAAGGCCGAGAGAGGGGAGGAAGCTGCAGAGGAAAAGTCTGAAGCTCACAGAAGTTGGTTCATGTGGTTTAAAGAAAGACGTCATCTCCATAGCCTCAAATTATAAGGCGATGCAGCAAGTATCCAGATCTACCACGGTACTTAATGAAGGCGGTTACACTCACTAAACAACAGATTTCAGTGTAGACAGAACAGCCTTATCTTGGAAGAAGATGCTATCTAATGTTTCCATAGCTAGGGAGAAGTCCGTGTCTGGCTTCAAAGCACAGGTTGCCTGTCTTTTTTTTTTTTTTAATGGATGACACACTTAGGGGTCTTTTTTTTTTTTTTTTTTTATGTTTTATTTATTTCTAGGAGAGAGAGACAGCGTGAGCAGGGGGAGGGTCAGAGAGAGAGGGAGTCACAGACTGAAACAGGCTCCAGGCTCTGAGCTAGCTGTCAGCACAGAGCCCGACGCAGGGCTCAAACCCACGAACCGCGAGATCATGACCGAAGCGAAAGTCGGACGCTTAACCGACTAAGCCACCCAGGCGCCCCACAGGTTGCCTGTCTTGTTAGGGGTTAAGGCAGCCAGTGACTTTACCTAAAAGCCTGTGCTGGGCGGCTCAGTCAGGTGAGCATCTGACTTTTGATTTCAGCTCAGGTCATGGTCCCAGGGTAGTGGGGTCAGGCTCTGAGCTGAGCATGGAGCCTGCTTGAGATTCTCTCTCTCCCCCCAACTCTCCAAAATAAAAGCCTGTGCTCTATAAATGGAACAGCAAAGCCTGGATGACAGCAGATCTGTTTACAACATGGTTTACTGCATATTTTAAACCCAATATTGAGAACTACTCAAAAAAGTTGCCTTTCACAATATTACTGCTCATTGGCAATACGCCCGGGTCAACTATGAGTGCTGGCGATGCACCCAGATTGTTATTTTCATGCCTGCTAATGCACATCCCTTCTGCAGCCCACGGAGTTTCAACTCTCATTAAGAAATACATTATGTAAAACCAGAGCTGCCAGCCATAGTGACCCCTCTGACAGATCTGGGCAAAGCAAACCTGGAAAGGACTCACCATTCTAGATGCCAGGAAGGATGTTCGTGACTCCTGGGAAGAGGTGAAAACCTCAGCATTAACAGGGTTTACGAAATTGATGCCAGCACTCTTGGATGACTGTGAGGGGTTCAGGACTGCAGATGTGGTAGCAACAGCGAGAGGACCGAAATCAGAAGTGGAGCCTGAGGACCGGACTGAGTGGCTGCAATCTCGGGTTAAAAACCTGAGCGGATGAGGAGCTGCTGCTTACGGATAAGCAGACAAAAAGGTGTCATGAGATGGAATCCGCTCCTTGTGAAGATGCTGGGAAGTTTGCTGAAATGCTAACAAACAGGAACAGAATAGTAGAGACTCAGTCGACAAAGCGACAGTGGGGTTTGGGAGGACAGACGGCCGATTCTGAAAGCAGCTATAAATGCTATCAGGCAGCGTAAGGTGCCGTGAGAGACCACTTGTGAAAGCAAGAGTCAGTCCGTGGCAAACTTCATTACTTTTAAGAGAACGCCACCGCCCTGATCAGCCCTCCACAGCAAGGCCAGACCCTCCACCAGCAGGGAGGGAAAAAAAAGTACAGCTCACTGAAAGCTCAGATGCTGGGTAGCGGTTTTTTTTAAGGTACATACATTGTTTTTTGGACCGAACGCTCTGACACGCTTACGTCTTACAGTGTAAACCTAACTTCCATGTGCCCTGAGCAATCATTCATCTGACTTGCTTTGTTGTGATGTCTGCTTTACTGGTCTGGAACTGAGAATGTGCGTCATCTCCACGGTCGGCCTGTTATCTGTATCGGTCATACCTGCCTACGCTGATGCTCCAACCAAAAAAAAAAAAAAAAAGTACATGGGTTTTTATAATAGGCTTTAATTTTTCTTAAAATATAGATTTCTTACTAGATTAAAACTAAGCATATTTCATACCATTTTGACTCTTCAGAGCCTGAATGATGGAATCTGTTACTTGAGCGTCTGCTCGTGGAGCAAGTCGTGCCGCTCGCCATGATTCACACCGCCGCCGTCCCCTCGTTCCCGCGGTCAGGGCGCAATTTTGCAAGTTCAGAAAGAACAGTTTCAACCCTGCTGACAAGTTCAGGAATAGCCTAGGACTGTGCAGTTGGCTTTGACGGCTGGAACTGTCCTGATTCAAATTTTTCTTTGAACTTTAAGTAGTCTCTTCTTTTATCAAAATACTTTATCTGTTGAGAAAAAAAGTGAAGGGAAAGTTTTTGCAGTTTGGAATAAAAGCACAGATTTAAATGGGATCAATTAATCAACATAAGTTGAGTAAGTGACGTAAATGATCTGCATTCCAGAATCATTCTGAATCCATGCACGTGATATATTAGAGTCTCCGAAGAGGGTGTAGACCTGTGAGCCCTAGCCCCTTTTGAGTTACAGATCCTGTGGAGAATTCAAAGAACTCATGAACCTTCTTGAAAAACGCCCCTGTACTTGAGGTGTGACTCTCACCATGCGGACTGACAGAGCTCACAGGTCCTAACGCTCGTGATTTAAAGACACTGTACAAGTTTTTATTAACTGTAAGGTCAATAAATTTTGTAGTTCATCAACCATCATATTTAGCAAGTTGATCTCATCCAGAAACACATTTATGACACATGGTTAAAAATTCTTCTTAGAAACTATGAGTGGATGGCAAAATTAAAGACATCCTCCTGGGGCACCTGGGAGGCTCAGGTGGGCATCTGACTTCAGGTCATGATCTCACAGTTTATGAGTTCAAGCCCCACATCGGGCTCTGTGCTGACAGCTTGGAGCCTCCTTTAGATTCTATGTCTGTCTCTCAAAAATAATGCAAAAAAAAAAAAAAAAAAAAACTTTAAAGAGATACTTTTATTTAATCCTCCTTGTGCCTAGGGAATTTGAAGTATCCTGAAACAGTAAAATTCCAGGAGAAAAGCAAGGTCAACCACAAAATTCTGTATCTATATCCGAGCTGTTTTGCAGACAAGGCAGAAAATACTACACATCTTCACTGTCAGAATAAAAAACACCAGTTCTTTTGTTAAAAGCTTTTCTTAGGCTCCAATAAATTAAGAATTAAATCCTAAGTGACAATCGGACTGAGATGTACACCTCTCATCAGCTGGAACGAGAGCCACCCCAAGTCTCCCGGGGACGCTGCAGCCACAGGGCGTCCTGCCTGACCCTGCGAAGGGACCACTGCTTTCCGCCTCGCCCAGAAACCTGGTCCTTGGAAACCACACTGTCAGAAATTCACTCTTAGTGGTTCAGTCCATAAAAGTGAACCCTCTTACCTCTGCCTAGAGGATCTAAGTTAATCTAACAGAGAGGCAGCCTTCATTTCCAACCCAGGGGCAGGGTCTCAAATAAGGGATTTCTGAACATGACATTCATCTTTAAGAAAATCGGACCCCGGGTCCCCTTCTCCATCTGGAGCTGACAAGGACCTGTTTAGATGCAGCCCCGCTTCATTTCAGTTTTATTACATCCCACCCTATGCCTGGTGGCGGGCTCCTTTCCTCCGCTCAGTGAGGTGCCCGCCGCTCCTCTGGCGTGTGGCCCCCTCCCTCCCCGGTTACATGTTAACAGATCTGCCAGCCTACAGGTTCAGCCCTGGTGGCTGGGATGGCTGTTCTTTATACTCGACCCCACAGGAAGAGGTGGACAGTGTCTGTACATCTGTGGCAAGTTATCTCTGATGACAGATCCTATGACAGCTCCAGCTGCCTAACCGACAGTGCCTAACACCTCTGTCCCGGCCTGTCCCGAACTTGGCGCCTCTGCAAATACGTCTGACCTCTAATACGTTCCTCAGTGGATGCGCCCCTAAGCACCCCGGCACTCTGACCCCGCCCCCTCCTCGCTCGAGTTGTCCTAACAACCCCTGAACTGGGTTCTCCACCCTCCTCGATCTAGCTGTCATGCTGCTGCTGGCGAGCTCTTTCCCCAGCCACACCTGCTCACTGCCCGTGCCAGAAGGTCTCTCTGGGTGTGCCCACAGACCCCTAAGGTCCACATCCAGTTCCTCGGTAACACAGACAAGGCCATTCGTGGCTTCACCTCTGTCCATCTGTCCTCCCTGACTGTGCCCCCAGTCCCTGAAATGCTGGCCAGACAGAGCTACTCCAGTTCTCAGATGGGCTTATTTCTCGCGTGTACACACTCTGCCCTGACAGCTCTCCCCCCGGGCCTCGGCCACCTTGGTTAACAAACACTCCAAGATCCTCAACCAGGGCGCGCGGGCTTCACCAGCTAGGAAGGCGACAAGCACCCATGGAGAAGGACTGTGTACACGACATGCCAGCGTCCTCAGAGCCGCTACACGGGGTGTGGGACAGCAGTGCGAACGCCCATGCGTTGGAATTTCTAGAGCACTTCAAAGGCTCACACGGAAAAGACAGCATCTGAAATCGATACTGGGATCGGGTCTCTCGGCCAATGCTGGAACGATGGCCCCTCTTCCTCCAACGACCCGACGGGACACTGTAAACAGGCCTGTTACACGGTGGGGCTGACGGGGGCCGCTGAAAGCCGCAGAGCACCGGCGGAGAGTGACTCGCTGCGGTGACAGCGAGCAGTTCGGCCGTTTGCCACCTTTCTTAGGTCACCCTCGTCTCTCCATACCTTCACTGCTTAGCTGATCTTGCATAAATCATGTTATCCTTCCGGGGCTTAGCTGCTAGTGTCACACACACACAAAGCACGAGACTGAATGAAGATAAAGCTCGTAAAAAAAAGTCTCACCCAGAACGGACCCAAACGCTACTTGCATTTCCAACCCCTCCCTGCCTGTGTACCCCTGCCTTCCCACACACAGCTCTGGCTCTCCCTTTCTAGCCTCTGGGGTGGGTGAGGCTGCAACGGGCGATGCCTGAGCAGAGCCCTCAGCACAGTGGCCACCATGGTCAGAGGCTGTGGAAGTCAATTCCTGCACGGTGCTGCGCTGCCCACCTCCCTCCTGCGTGGGGGCCGGCGGTGCTCATCTTCGCCACCAGCACTCCCGGCCCTCTGCTTGGGTGGCCCTGGCGCAAGCGCAGCCCCAGCCCCTTCTGGCTCCCTGACCTCATCAGTGACCTCGTCCCCCAGCCTTACTCCCAGGATCAAAGCGCAGGCCTTGGCCAGTAAATCCACTCTCCTGCAGTCCCCATTCTGAGTATCCTGTTCCCCCGCCACCACCCCTCCCCTTTCTCTGGGAGACCTCGATATCAACAACCCGACGGCCACCTTCTCGCTGGCCCCTCTCCTTTCCTCACCGCCGAACTCCAAGCTCAGCAGAGGTTGCTGAGAACAGGGCACCACTAGCACTCGGAGTAAACGCCACGGCCCTGGCCTCAGGTCCCCTCTCCCACCCTGACTTCCGCTGTCCCTTAAGCAGCAGCGCCGGGGTGGTGTCCCGCTTCCCTCCTGGGGTGCGCCTGCAGTAGGCCCCGCAGTGGAGGCCCTGGCCTCTGGGCCGCTGTCGATGCTGGTGTCCGTCACCGAGGACAGGGGCACCGGGGGAGAGGCCCGTGGGTACAGGGATGGGGAGGATGCAGAGGGCAAGGCTGGTGCCTGTGAACATCTAACTGGACCGCTCTGCAGGTGCCTCTGGGGCGGGAGAAAGGGCCAGATCGGGCATCAGCCAAGGCCAGGCTGCCTGGGGAGAGTGGGCACAGAGGCGCGCCGGCGCTTCACACGTGCAGGGAAGCGTTCCGAAGCGTGTGGCTGCCACACACTCGCAGGGGGAAACCGAGGGCAGTGAACTGTACAGGGAGATGGGGCTTTTGCATTTCAATAGACTAGAAACTTAGGCCTGAGTTTCAAGACCACCAAATTAGGCCTGAGTTTCAAGACCACCATGAGGACTGTGCAGGCTATTTTCTGGGACCGTTTTCTTGCAGGACACGCACAAGGAGCAGTGTGGAGAAGGGGAAGGCGGGGGTCTGGACGAGACGCCTGCGCTCAAACCCAGGCTCCGCGCTTACAGGTGACTCCATTTCAATGTGCCCAAGGTTCTTGTCTGCAAAACTAGGTGGCCTTCAGGAGGAGCAGCAGCGGAGGTGGGGGGCACATGGGAGATGCTCAGAGCACTTCCTCAGTAAACGTGAGCTGTGAGCAGGACACAGTAACCTGGAGACAGGGCTGGCCCTCCGGCATGGATGGGACTTAGAATAAGGAAGTAACAGGCTGGCAGTAAACACAAACAAAAAATCCTTTATGACGCAAAGAACCGAGGTGTCCTGAAGGTAGGGGAGGGAGAGGGCCTGCTAATAGGGGTTGGAGAGAAAGCAGTGGGTTTCCAAGGAGAAAGAGAAAATAAAAATAGGACCGAAGTGTGACTTCCAAGGGGCTAAGACAGTGATTCCCAACCTAACAGCCTGGAGAACCACAGCCAGTTTGAAAGACTTGGTTTCTATTTCCAGACATTCGGTAAATCAGACGTGAGGTCTGGGACACAGCCATTTAGCAAATCTCCACATGATTGAGCCGTGATCAGAGTGGAAAATCTGGCAACACTGTCAACAGACAGGTCTCTGAGTGACAAAATTCTCCTAAGATGCAGGGGTGGGGTGAGAACAGAAGCCACCAACATCCCAGCTGTGACCCGCCTCAGGGCCGAGTCCTGCCCTGTTCTCAGCAGGGACCTTGGGACCACAGGGCCAGAGAGCCCAGTGAGAAGGGGCCAGCACAGGCAGTAAAGGGAGCTGGGCCTTCCAGGAACCGAGTTTGCTCAGCCCAAACGCCCACACTCTCCACCTGCTAGTTAAACCAGGTGGTCACGGCGCATCACGCTAATGGGAAAACCAGGGAGGTAGAACACTGTTTGCCTGAATCGTGATGCAGTCCGATCACAAAGGTTTCTACTTCTATGTCAAGTTAGACATTGAGTCTTCACAGGAATCCCATGAGATTGGTTGCATGAATCGGACTGCGTTCACTCCCAGCCCGGCCCTCCCGGAGGACCGCCACCCTCCACGCAGTCTCCTGCGCGCCTCGGGCTCCTCATCTACAAATGTGCGGTGTGACAGCCGTGACCCTAAAAGCACGTCATCTCTAAGATGATCTGTTCTCGCGCTACCTGGTATACTTCGCGGCAGCACGGCGGGAGTGAAAAAGCACAGACAAATTCAGGTTCAAATCTTCCGTCGGCCAGCTGGGCCCGACTTCTTACAGTTCTGCCCCTTACGGACCAACACCGAACAGGCTACCTCAATGTCCCGCACTTCGGATACCTCCTCCAGCACTGAGAGCAAGCTACCCCCCTGAAAGGGCCCTGACACAGGAGTGTCCACACTTAAGACAGGACCATCTGCTGAGCTCTGTGTCAGCTCCCCTCCCCCGCCACTCCCAGATACAGGGCAGGCAGTGCACAGCAGAGAAACACCTGTCGGGGCAGATGGTGGCAGATGGTGGCAGAAGCCATCCTACGAGCATCCTCGTCCACTTTCCAAACCATTCTCCTAGTACTCTGGGTATATGGTCATATGACCGGGGATGGGCGACAGGGAATGCTTTATTTCTTCTGACAATAGCTCTAGGCCCACGAACTGGCCAACCCTTACCCAAGATTCAATACTCTTCCTAAGATCCTTGAGAAATCTACCCATTTGGTGGGTCAAAACTTTTGGTGATGGTCTCTGTTTTCAGTGATCTTTAAGGTGTCAGGTGACTTCTCCCAAATGCCTCCCTGATGTAAGTACATACAACACATCTGGATTACCAGAGGTTTCTCTGCGGCTCACAGAAACTAGATTGCCTGAGACAGGGCTTTGTTTGCTGACGACCACTCACCCTGTAAGCTCTATGCCTTTAACAGCGAACAGAAACACATTCGAGTGTGCCTTACCCACTGCTGGGGACAACTTGATTCAAAAGAGCTTCTTAACTTCTTGCACCGAGAAGGGTCCTCTGTGTTCTCATCTAAACACTTCCAGTACGCATCCCGGGCTCCCCAGCAAGCCTGCCTTTCTTTCATAGATGGGGCTGCCATTCGTTCCCAGTGGGCTCCAGCTGTCGGCGGAAATAACATTTGATGTTAACAAGGAAGGTGTCATTTCAGGGAGAACGCTGTCGTTCCCGCCCACCTCGCCCTCTTAATGATGCAACTGAAATCAATCAGTTCTTAATTAACGATCCCATGAGAACACCTGCTTTGGAAGCTGATCTCCTCTACGGAACTGGATCCACTGCTGGGGGACAGCCTGGTCCCAGGCAGCCCGAGTGAGAAGTACGGGGGTCTGGCACGGGGCCGTCCCTTAGGGGGGGGGCTCATGTAACCTCTAGGACTTGTTTCCCATCTGTAAAACGGGGCAGCGGTGCCCAGTTTACAAGGTTGCTATTGGAACCGAACTTCTGGACAAACAAGTGCACGGGGACAAAGTTACCCAGCAGGGCCGGGAGCGCTATCGAGCCCTGCCGGAGAGGGGCCCGAGGAGCGCGGAGTCGGGGGACCGCCGCATCCTCATTCCACGCTCGCCCGCCGGGACCCCACCGCGAGCTGACCTCTCACCCGCCCAGAATCAGGTTCCCTCCGACGCCGACGCGGGAGCCAAGGGTCATGGAGCCCAACAAACTGGGGGAAGAAGGCGCGGTTGCCGAGTCCCGGCGCCGGAGGGTCGCCTCGCCCGCTGGGGCTCGAGCGGCGTTAGAACTCACCGCCCGGAGAAAGCACCTCACGCGGTAAATCCGCCCTCCAGCTTGGAATGACCCCTACGGGACCCCGTTCGCCGTTCGGGGAGGGCGGGACTTCCGGCACCGCTCTCTCCCTCTATGGCCGCGACTTCCTTCCGGACCTACGGGGTAGGGGGAGGCGGCGCCTGGGGGTGTGGAGGTTGAGAATGGGTGTGACTCTGTCACTGCTTTGAGAGGCCTTAACTCTATTGTTATGTAAAGCTTCTCTCCCCGCGGCTTTTAAAAGTTGTGACGAACTGTGCCCCTTTAGTAAATATCAGTGGCCTTGTATATTTCCTCCTCCGGCGCTGCCTGGAAGGCTTGACTGGCAAGCCCTGCCGGAGGGCAGTTTGGGGTGGAAATTTGCACCCGAGGGGTTAAGAGCTAGACATAATGTTACAGATGAAAGCTTAACTCCTCTTTCTAGACAGAGATATGTAGACACAGAGATAGAGATGGAGATGATAGATATGGATAGGGGAGTGAGGAAGAGGGAGTGGGGAGTGGGAGAGAGGGGAGAGGGACACGACCCAGGAGACAAGGCAAAACAGTGAGTCAAGCTGCCAACCCTAGGCCTTGAGTCCCCAGTTCCATGGGTGAGATTGCATCCTGGTGCATTTCTCAACATCACCACCCTACCTCGAACCCTTGAAGCTTGCTTCTGTGCCTGGAAAATGTCTTTTTAGTTGATACTTGGAGACCTCTGGTGAGAGAGAATGTGAAAGATAAGTTCCATTCGGCTGAGATGTGATAGTTAAAATGTGAGCTTGATTACAGTTTACAGACCAGATCCGTGACTTGGATATAAAATTTGTGGAAAATGAGTACAGATTGGTCAGAAGAATGGAGAAAATAAATATTTGTAATACTGAGTTAATCTTACTCGTTTTTTTTTTTTTACCTCCCCCAAATGCTAAGGTATTTTATTTTTAATGTTTGTTTTTGAGAGAGAGAGAGAGAAGGGGAGGCACAGAGAGCGAGGAGACACCGAATCCGAAGGAGTTTCCAGGCTCCGAGCTGTCAGCACAGATCATGACATGGGACTCGAACCCATGAACGGTGAGATCATGACCTGGGCTGAAGTCAGACACTTAACTAACTGAGCCACCCACGTGCCTCTACACTAAGGTATTTTAAAACAGAATGGAAAGAGTTGCTCCAGATATTTTGAAAATAGCTATTTCTAATATATAAACAAGTTAATATCTCTGAGCAGAATCTTTAAAAGGCCCTTTATGGCTAAGATCCGTCAGTCATATGGTGTCTGCTTCTCTTAACATATTCCATCTGCATCATCTAGTCCTGTTCGCATTCTATAGTGCTTATAAAACTCATAAACAAGGTACAGTTCTGCACTCGATACTGGTGTTTGATATTTTCCAAATTACATATATGCAGATTTTCAGGGCAGCAATGTTAAGCTAAGTACTAGCAAACATATGTTCTCCAATATGGGAAGTATTTCTGTAATAGTTAATGGACTCGGACAATAGTGGAATGCCTTATCTGTACCACGGCCACGTGTTTCTTTTACACTCTGTCTACCCCAAGGACAGTTTATATAAAGATAATATCTTCTAAGTATAACTGATGAGATATAAGAAGGATGAAAAGAAAGGGTCTTGGATGACATCTGAGTTGAAAAAAGAAATATGTTTCAATTTAAAAATGTTTAAGCTTATATGTACTTAATGATAAATATATAAAAGTGAAACTTGACTGAATTACAAAGAAAAAGTATATAGGTTTATTAGGTTAAATTATTAATATGTTAAAAATAAATAGGTTTAATTATTATTTCCTATTAGGTGTAATCTTAATAAGCCTTTCTCAGTGATTTTTAAGACAAGCAAAGGCAAGTAAAAGTCAATAAGGATATAGGAAATTTGAACATGATTAAAAACTTACCTAATGAATATATACTGAGCACAACCAAAATCAGAATATACATTTTTTTCAAAGTAAACATGGCATGATCCCCAAACAAACCACATACTTAGCTGTAAAGCAACTCAACAAATTGTAAAGATTGAAATCATTTGGTACATGTTTTTTGACCATTACGCGATTAATCTAGAAATCAATAAAGAACTATAACATGCCCATTTAAACTCTTGTTAAGAAAAGAGTCACAATGGGGTGCCTGGGTGGCTCAGGTCATGATCTCACGGTTCGTGGGTTTGAGCCCCGCATCAGGCTCTGTGCTGACAGCTAGCTCAGGGCCTGGAGTCTGCTTCAGATTCTGCGTCTCCCTCTCTCTCTGACCCTCCCCTGCTCATGCTGTCTCTACCTCTCTCTCAAAAATAAATAAAATATTTTTAAAAAAAAAGTCACAATGGAAATGAGAAGATATTTTGAGCTGAATAATACAATAGCAATGCCTGTGGAGTGAAGCTAAAACAGTACTTAGAGGAAATGTTATAACCTTAAGTATATTTGGAAAAGAGGCTAAAAGGTCTTTAGCTAAACATCCCTTTTCAAGAAGTTAGAAAAAGGAAAGCAAAATTAAAGAAAGTGAAAGGACAGGTTATTTTAAGCACAGGAATGAATGAAATGGGAACTGAAAGTAGTGTGCTGGAGATAGTCAGTACTGACTCAGGAGAGCAAATTGTGCACAGCTGTCCCCAACCCCATGGTCACTAACATCAAATTAGTGGTTTGATGTTGCCCATGATGGTAGTATTCACATAATAAAAGACTAATAAAATTGACAAATATCTGAGAGTATTGAACAATAAAAGGAGAGAAGTTGACCTGTATCAATAATGAAAACTGGAGACATCAAAAAAGTTAGGACATTTTATGAACAATGTAATGCAAATAAAATTCAGATAAACGCACAAATTTCAAGCAAAACACAGCTGGCTGACTCAAGAGTGAAAAATAGAAATCTTCCTAAGCCATAATTTGAATCAGTAGTAAAAAATTTCCACATACAAATTCCAGGTCCACAGCTCCATCAGTGAGTTCCTCTAAACTCTGAAATAATTCCATTCTTACTGTATGAAGCTCCAACAATTTTTGTACTAATTACAAAATCCCCCACTTCTGAAACACCAAAGTCTTTGGAATTCATTAGGTGAAAATGTGACTTCACTAAGCCACGAGGCTCTTTATAGGGTTAAATAGGCTCTTTATGTACTTAGGTGACTACATGTTTTGCTGCAGAAATAGTAATGTTTGAATACTGTTTTTTGACTATAGGTGCTCTCCCAGCTGAGAGCTGAGAGGGTTGAGAGTGTTACATAGAAAATAAATATTGTATTGTTCCACAGTACCTTTCCAATGTCCACAAAAGTCTGTATTCCAAAACACGTCCAGCTCCAAGAATTTCAGATAAAATGTGTAGACTTGTACAGAAGAATGTTTTTATGACTTAGGGGTCAAGAAGAATTCTTTTAGCCACAAAGGGAAAGATCAATAAATTCAATTACATTAAATTGAAGAATTTTTGTTTACCAAACAATACCATAAAGCAAGTGGAACAGACAAAACCACAGTGTGAGAGAAGTTTGTAAAACAAAGAATTGGTGCCCAGCATATAAGAAGGAGACAATGTAGTTTTAAAAATAGGCCAAAGGCTCACATAGGCACAGAATGAAAGAGGAAATAGGTGACCAATATAAGAAAATACCCAAATCCTTGTTAGGAACCACAGACTTAAACTTGCACGTCACAACGCAATGCTGTTAGACACCAGCCAGAACAAAGAATAGTTAGAGAGTCTGGCAGTAACAAGTTTAAGAGGGATGAAGAAGGATCCTCATACATAGACGGTTATAGAAATTGATATAATTGCTTTGGACATTATCTAGTGAAGTTCAAGGTACACATTCACTATGACTCAGCACTTCTATTCTTCGGACTCACTAATACACACGCAACTTTGTTATAGCTAGAGACCATATATGCCCTAAACTTATATCAACAGTAGAATGGATAAAGTATGGTATGGTCATATTATGAAATACGATACAGGAATGAAAGGAAAAATTATAGTCCACTTACAATAATGGGATGTATCTCATCTTGAGTAAAAGCAGCAAGTCAACCAAAGAATAGATGCCCTGTATTTCCACTCACCTAAGGTTCAAAACCTGGCAAAACCCAGCTACACTGTTTAGGAGACATAAACAAGTAGTCGAACTATTAACAAATGGAAGAGGTGAACAGGAGCCTTCTAAGGGGCCGACAAAACTTTCTTTCTGGACTTGGGTGTTTGCTCTATAATTATTCTTCAAATAAACAGTACAAGTACGTTTTATTCACTCTTCTGTATGAATGATATAGGTCACAATTTTTAAACAAATAGGGTAATGGTTTAGTCTGAAAAAGGTCATCTTCAGTACACAGAAAGGTCAGAAGGGTCACACAGAACATTTATAGTGTGAGTACATTTTGAATGGATTTAACGTCTTCTGTGTTCTTCTAGGTCAAAAATCACTAGTCCCTCATAGTGTCACTGTGCAGCTAAGCAATGCCAGTGGGTCAGTGGTACACAGACAGAAAAGTATTTATTTTTTAGTTTATTTAGTTTATTTTTTGAGAGAGAAAGAGAGCAGCGGATGGGGCAGAGAGAGAAAGGGAGAGAGAGAATCCCAAGCAGGTTCTGCACCATCAGTGCAGAGCCCAATGCGGGTCATGAAGCCACAAACCTGAAATCATGACTTCATGAGCCAAATCAAGAGTCAGACGCTCAATGGACTGAGCTACCCAGGCACCCCTAAAGTATTTTTTATAAGATCTATTTATTTATTTTGAGGCGGGGAGGGGCGGAGGGAGAGGAAGAAAGAATCCCAAGCAGGCTCCATGCCGCCAGCACAGAGCCCGACGTGGGGCTCGATCCCACAGCCATGAGTTCATGGCCTGAGCCCTCCCAGGCGCCCCCAGACAGGAAAGTATTACCGCAGAGGTTCAATGAACTAAAGTAATGGTACCCACCCTTACCTCCAAGGAGGTCCGTGGTTCACCCATGGAGAAACACGGATTTATCCAACAGCGCACAAAACAACTAGGAAAGAGACTCCTTGAGATGCTGAGAAGGCCAATGAACAAACATAATACAG